ACAAGTGCCTGTATTTTTAAAATAGACTATTTAGCTGGGCCATGGGCAAGAAATCAGGAACCATGAGACAGATCCAGCAGTCAGGACAGAAGAGTGTGGGCTTGGCCAGAAACATATTAAAGAGAGACTATAATTGGACCTGAAACCAGATTAAAGTCCTGGAGAAGTAGCTGATGATGCAAATTTGTTTGTATTAACACAACCAGGCTTCAGAGAAATCTCATGCCCAAATTTTGAAGGCTAGTCACCAAATAAGCCAAGTTAATTAATATACTTTCACAGATAAAAGAAATTCCTGCTGTGACAGTCAGATGCATTAATTAGTTAAGGATCTTCTTCTTTACATGGGCTACGTTTAGCATGTTGCACTTTTTAAAATTTCTGGTAGAATTACTTTTGATATGCTGCAGATGTGCAGAGCTCCACATAGGAGAATAGCTACAAGTTCTCCATAGTCCATCTGTTTCTCCATAACTGGCATTTAAAGTATCAATAATTCACTCTGAGACATTTGTAGTAGAATTTAAAACATTTTTACTTACAGTTGCTTGAAATTACAGAGTTATGTATGCTGCTTTCTTTATTGCACACATACTTAGCAGCCAACTGAACACATCAACAGCAAACAAACAGCTGTCAGCAAAAGACAAAAGAGGGGGAAATAAACACTCAGTAGAGAGGAAGGGCTATCTTTGAATTCAGAGGCTGAAAATAACAATTGGTTAGTGCTAGATAAATAGACAATCACCCCAGTCCAGAGAAGTCCCTCCCAGTCAAACAAATTACAGGCAGATGCGAGATTGGAAATAAAACTCCAACATAACATCCATTTCTTAACCCAAAGAATAGATCGGGAAGAAGGTTTCAGAAACAGGTTAAAAGATAGGACAGAGGTAAAAGCAACATGCCTTAGTTCAGGAAGACCTTGTTGGGTAAGTGAGGGTCAAATGTAAAAAAGGAAGGCCCCTTATAGTGCTTGTTCAGGAGGAATCAAAAGCCAATAGCTAGCACAACTGGACTTGTATTGGAAGGTTAGCAAAGATTTTATATAATGTGTCAGCAGGTACTAATATGGCATACCTTGCTGGATGAAGAGGCTGCAGTTAACAACCCAGACAGAACCTGTTGCCGGCTATATCATGTTCTTCTTGATGCCAGTGAAGATCTTTTTGTTCTCTGAGGCTCTTTAGGAACTCTTTTTAGTACCTGTGGAGTTTTGCTATTTTAAAATTCATGCTTCTGTTTTTTTCTTTTGCTCTTTGTATTGTGTGCCACTGATAGTTTTCTCTTGTTTTTCATCTAATGTATTTTGTTCTAATGCTACTATTTTGTATTCTTATGCTACTGAGTTAGAGAGAACCTCACAAATGACAGTTAGGTGATTTAAAAGCCAGTAGAGAAATAAAAAAAGTATAACAGGCACAAAAGAACGGGGCAGCCAGGCCAGAACAGCAGTGCAGAAGACAAGCAGAAAGTACCAAGTGGCACAGAGTGGTAACAGCAAGAACAGGCCCAGTTTGAGGAAGGCCAGGACTGTGCCGCCTGGATTGCCACAAAGAGGAGGAATCTGGTTCATTCTGCCTGCATTGATACTGTTTGCTGTTTCCTTTGCATAGGCCACGAGACTCATATTCCTAGGGTTCCCAATTCAAGCCCAGTAAGTATCTGTTGGAGTTCTGTATGTGATGATGGTTCAAGCAAGTCTGAAACATGCAGACTAGCTTGAGGTTGTGGGGCTGTGGTCAGGAAAAGGACTGGTGGGAGAAGACTTACTGCATTTAGAAGTATCAGCCATTCTCCATATTCAGCCTCATCAGATAAAGTGCTGTTGCCTGACACAGAGGACCTGATGCAGATCAGCCTTCCCAAATTCCTGTGCTCCAGATGTTTGTGCCCAGAATTCCTACTAGCCCTACAAAGCATGGCTAAGTAAGGGATTTTGAGACCTGTATCCAAAACATCTGGAGAGGATCAGGTTGAAGGAAGCAGATACAAGTAAGGTTCTTTGGCACGGTGGTTGTACTCCCAGAACAGAAACTTTTGCTACTAACTGAACATTAACAACAGTGTCTTTAAAACATGCACATACATCTATTTTGGACTTTTGGAACAAAGAATGAGCCAAGATGCCTCAAAACACGTAAATGGAGATAAGCAAAACCATTTTTCTAAACGGTATCACTCCAGGGTACAGCTATGGGGAGATATTTGCAAACTGGAATGCCCCCCATGCCCCCCATGGAAAAATAAAAATTCCTACACACAGAGCAGTAGTTTTTTAAGGGGAAGGTTCAGTCCCAAATGACTATGCCAAGCTCCTTATTAGCCAGTATGGCCAGAGCCATCCAAAAACTAACTTTTCCGAGTGCTGTGCATACACATTTACAGCATGAAGTGATACAGCCAAAGGAAACATTTACTATTTGGTTCTGCTAACCACATAAATTGCTCTTATCTAAGTTCCCCACAAAGCCTCAGAAATCAGAACATCTTGTAAATATGGGAGTTATTTCAAGGACTCTCTGCCCAAGTATCTCATGCCTCTAATGCCTTGAGTACACAGGGTGTTCTGTTTTTTTCCCCCTGACTATATTTAAAGGCCAAAATTACCAGGAACAGAACATTAATCTGTGCCTACTCATTTCAATCATGGCTGAATTTCCAGTCTAACAAGTATCCAGCATTTCCTCCAAGTCTCCTTATGACTATCCTGGGCTCAAACAAGGTCACATTCACTTCCTTCCTGTCCGGAAAAAAAAAGAAAAGAAAAATACAGCCATATTTGCTTTATGTAAGACAGAACTTGCCATGAGCTAGATAACCAGCAATTAGAGCACCTTGCAATATGTAATCAAAGAGTAATTAGACACTTCAACAATCCTTTCAATATTGTGCGCATGTTATTCTAATGCCACACCTAGCCAGCCTGCTTTCCTGCTGTTTCTGAGTTCCATGATGCTTCCTGTACCCAACCTTTCAAGTTAGGTACAGGTCACAATTAAGTAAATCCATGCCACTTTTAAGTAAACACAGATATTAAAGATCATATGGATGCAAATACAGTGTGCTGTATCTGATAATTTATTTACTTGACAGCCAACAAGGACAGTAAACACTAGCATTTTATGTTGATTGAGAAGTGTTTAACATAGATGCATCTTTGATTTCTTGATTTTTAAAATATATTCGTGCTCTACTTCAAAAGTAGATATTGTGAAAATTATTATAAGGATCAGCCCAAGACTTTTGGCTGCCTCAAGGAAAGGCTAAGACAATGATGCCCTTTCCATATGCCACATACATGGCTGGATTCACCGTTGAATTTTGCTTTAAATGGATCTATCATTTAATTCCTATAGCATTCAACACAGATTAATCTTCTCCTTTATTTTAACACCCCATTGTCCTTTAAAAAAAGAAGAAGACTGTGTTTTACACATGTGGAACATCTTTATATGCAACATGAAGATTCTGACTCATTCTTGTAAGAATGAAACTCAGATGGTGCTGGTGATCATTTCACATTTATTAAATATTGACTATCTGAGTTCGCTTCTTATAGGACTTTCCTGGATGTACTGTACAGTTCACTGAAGAAGATGAACAATATGGAGAGATAAATTTCAGAAGAGCAACTGTGTTTACATTTATAGCAAAAACAGAACAAAACCAAGCTATGTGGCATCTTAGAACATGTGTGGGAAATATTGGACTTTCCAGATTTGAGACAACAAGCCCCACAGTTCCTCAGAATTGGTTGTGGTGGCGAGGACCCATAACTCAGATGAAAAACACTGAAAGGCACCACTTGCCTAGCCATGAACGTGGAGTCCAATGCTGTACGTGTTTCCACATAGTATAAGATAAACTCCACTGGCCAGAATCCAACAGGTGTTCGCTAAAGTTTGCTTAACTTCTCAGATTTAAATGCAACTAAGTGATGTTGGGTTTTGGTCACATGTCCTGATTACACATACACCACTGAGGTATACATATGCACTTCATATACCATATTTCCTGAAAATAAGACAGGGTCTTATATTATTTTTTGCTCCAAAAATGCTTATTTTCAGGGGATGTTTTATTTTCTTCATATACAACAATCTATGTTTATTCAAATACAGTCACATCATCTTCTTCTGGTTGCTACACAATGGTGGAGGGCAGACTTTCACTTAATTGGGGCTTATTTTGGGGGGTAGAGCTTATATTATGAGCATCCTGAAAATCATACTAGGGTTTATTTTCAGGTTAGGTCTTATTTTGGGGGAAACTGGGTATTAGCTATAGCTCGTTATACAAACATTATGGGAATGCCAATAGGATTCTGTTCACTTTCAGTGACACATTGCCTCTAGAACTAGCTAGTTATACAAACATTATGGGAATACCAATAGGAATCTGGTCACTTTCAGTGACACATTGCCTCTAGAACTGTCCTTAGAGAAGACTTTGTACCTGTTTCATCTGGGTTTCACAAGCCCAATGAGGGCTATGCCTTAGCATGTTTAAGGTTGCCGCCTTACTGTGGTATGCTGTCCCAAAGGCAATTCTGTTTCTCTAGGATCCACTTCATGTGACTTACGAAATACCTTCTTGCCTACAACACCTCCTGAGACAATTAATGCTTTCAGATATACTACTGTATTCCTAGATTTCCAGTTCGACCAAAGTGAAAAGGTTGTAAATAGTTGCAACACAATGTAGGGAGTAAAATCTCAAAAGGAGAGGGTGATGGATTGCTTAGGTCACACAAGGGTGATAATTATTCTGTGGGGCAAATACTGTAACAAAGGGAAAAGATGGGTTGGTTGTTGTGTTTTTTTCGGGCTCTTTGACCCTGTTCTGAAGGTTGCTCTTCCTAATGTTTTGCCAGCCTCTGTTGCCAGCATCTTCATAGGACAGGAGTCACAACTCCAGAGCACAGACAGCATCAGATCCGGTGGTGAAAGCCTTCGAGAACAGAAAAAATATGGGATTTGTAGTAAGGGGCGGGGGCTTGCAGTTACAGGTTAAAAGACTACTATAGGGAAAAGCCAGAGGAGTGGGCTGTGAGGGAAAGAGTGTTCATAAACTAGCCTTTCAGATTGAATGTCTTCTCCTGAAATAAAAAGATTGCTCCAGACTTGCATGAAAGGTATCAAGACAAGGGTCAATGAACGGATTACAGCACAACATCAAAACAAGCCAACTGGCAGGGGAATTCAGACCGCGACTAACCACACCCGTTTCCGAACAGGCAGATCCAGGTTCCTGTCGGCTCTGGTACTTCCAGGATTGTGTTGCTCTTCTGAAACCAGCATTCCTTCCATCTGCAATGACAACCTGGAAGGAAGATGGGGCTGCGATCAGGATGAAGTAACCGAGGAGTTTTGGGTTGCCTCGCTACCCGTAGTCTGCCCTCACAACAGCGGCGCCCCGAAGACGACCCCGTTGCGGAAGCTAGAGGAACCATGGCACTTCTCGCCGCCGCGGCCGCCGCCGCCGCGCTTTCCCTAGTGCTCGTTCTCCTTGCTGCGCGGTTCTTCCGAACGAAGCAGGAACGCGTCCCGCATAAAGATTCAGTGAAGCTCCTGGCGGTGGCCGGGTCTGGTAAGGCGAAGACCCACCGGAGGACCAGAAACGTCGTGTAGGCCATCCGGACTACATTACCCAGCAAGCAAAGCGTCCAGCTGTTTGCGACGCTGAAGCGAGATGTCGTTAACGCGGAAGACAGCTTGCATGGGGTGTTGCTGGGTATTGTAGTTCAGGTTTATAGATTGGCGTCCTGGGAGAACCGCGACCTTGGGAATTGGGAGATTTATTTATTTATTTATTTATTTATTTATTTATTTATATGCCGCCCACACTACCCGAAGGTCTCTGGGCGGCTTACAACATTTAATATAAAATAAAAAGGCAAAATGATTAAAATGCAATTAAAATATATATACTGTACTCTAAACATTGCCATCAGACCCACTTCAGGGTTGTGGAGCATACGGCCGAAAAAATAAGAGCATCGCATTAGATTAGAATGTGGCTACATAATCAGAATTCAAATGGTTTGATCGTAATTTGGGTCCTTTTCAAGGAGAAAGGCAGGTTGTAAATCCATCCACCCATCAGAAGACCCAGTATGATGTAGTGGATCCAGTGATGGACTAGGACTGTGGAGCCCGGGGTTCAAATCCCCGCTCAACTAGGGAAACTCACTGGGGGAGTGGAACTGATAAAACCACTCCTTAAATACGTCACTTACCTTGAAATCCATATTAAGGTTGCTATAAGTCTGTTTTGACTCAACAGCATATAACTATCAAAACTTGAGAGTACAAAGCAGGAGAAAATTCCTTCTCCTGAGCCATTCTTGCTATCGTTGAGTTGGCTATCTTGTGTTCTTTCTGCACCTGATGTTGTCCAAATGTGCTACTGGACGACAACAGCCAGAATCCCCCAAAGCTGGTTGGAGGTTCTGGGAGATGTAGTTTGGCACATCTGGAAGGCACCACCTTGTGGAGGGAGGCTAATACCGATTGTGGTGACATTTCTTGTGTATTGTGAAGGCAGATGTACCTTTACATTGAGGACCTCTGCCCCATAATACAAATATCCTAAAAGGTACCTGCTACCATTATTACAAAGTTTATTGGATGCTGATGTAATGAAGACCCAGATACTTTGTAGGCAACCGATGTGTTTCTGTCAGTATCTGATATGCTACCAGATCAAATGCGCCCCACCCCACTTTATGGCAAAAAGACAGAAAGTAAAATAACTGACAATTTAGTGGCCATTAATCCTACTCACAAAATCTGCCAATTTCAGTGAATCACCTTGGTAATGGTTAACTTGAGCTGATAAATTGATGTCAGAGATTCAAGAGCGTAATTACAAGGGGCGGTGACAAAAATGGGCCTTAGGTATGGAGCAATCATATGCACAACTATATTTCTTATAGAGTATACTTCTTTCAGCAGCATTTTCCCACTATTACAGGTGTAGAACAGTGATTCAAGATCTTGGGTGCCCAGGTCTTCTTGGACTAAAACTCCCAGAAGCCTTCACTACTAGCTATGCTGGCCAGGATCTCTGGGAGTTGTAGTCCAAGAACATCTGGGGACCCAAGGTTGGTCAAGGAAATGGAAACTATGTACCAGATTTTAAAAACTGAATGCATGAGTTTTCTGCTTTGCACAAAAGTACAACACTGCTATATCTTGAACTCATTGGAGGAAAGGCATGATATGAGTATGAATGATAAATTAAAAAATAAGCATGCTGGCACTTTCCTTTTGCTTCTTGGTGACCTCCGTGCCAGTCTTGACACACACACTCCCATGTTCCTTATCAAGAAGGAGTAGTAAAATTTCAGGTCCTAGGTTCATTCCAAGGTATGTCAAGGCAGAACTGAGAGAGATGTTTTCTCTGAAACAGTGGAGAGGTGCTGCCAGTTTTTGCAGAGTCAGTGCAAAACTAAGTAGTTTGATTTGGTGTATGGCACCTTCCTAAGTTTCTAAGCTTATTTCTGGTCCTTGGTTTCCTTCTAAAATCTGGACAAAAGCAGGGTGCAATTTCTCTTAGCTAACACAAAACAAATAAAGCTGGCACAAGGAAAAGGATGAGAACAGTATTCTAGCATGTTGCATGTATGAATTTTCTTTTGGACACCTCTGTAATTTCCCTTTTAAAGCTACTTAATTGTGATTAACAGTGTACAGTATACTAGAGATGGGGTATTTGTGTTTGTATACGAATATCCCCACACAGGTGGAAATAACGAGGGTCCACTCATGATTTCGTCGCTGACGCGAGCTCGTCGGGCCTTCCTATTGTGCCGTTGTCTGCAATCAAGTACTGACTCCTGGCAGGAGGTGGGATGACAAGCCTCTCTACTAGGTTGGAGAGTGGCTAATCCATTGCAGAGAACAGTGTGATATGAAGCCTCTGTGGAGCTGGCGTCAGCAGCGAAATCATGAGTGGACAGTCAACCTTCTTTATTTCCACCTGTGCGGGAACACGAATACGTCCATCTCTAGTGTTTACTCAAAAAACCTTGTTCCAGCTCCACTCAAACATGTGGTAAATTGGAGGAGAATCGGAGGAGGGGGGGAGACTGACCAGAAAAATGTTGTGTTTGAAATAAGAAAATTGTGTGTGGGAGGCTTGATGTGTTACTGCTCAGCCCTGGGACAGCTCATGATCCAGGCAGGGAGTCCCTTTGCCTCAATCAAACCATGCCAGTCACATGGGATGTTGAGGACATCACCTGATGAATAAGCCTATGAATTCCAGCCCCATGAGAAGGATGACCAAGCAGAATCCTTTGGCTGGTGAATCTTCCATAAGCTGACTTTGCTTCTGTATTTTTTAGGAGGGCACACTACAGAAATCTTGAGACTACTTGGAAGTCTCTCCCAGAAGTACTCTCCGAGACATTATGTTTTGGCTGATTCAGATAAGATGAGCGAGGAAAAAATCCGTTCCTTTGAACAAAAAAGAGCCGAAATGTTCTCTAATTGCTTGGTAAGTTGCCACATTCTTCCTTCTGTCTGTTTTTTCATACTTTGAATGTCAAGTGGCACTTTAAATTACTTCTCAGTAATATTGGTAGAATCTTCACGTGGTGGCGCTGTGGGCTAAACCGCAGAAGCCTGTGCTGCAGGGTCAGAAGACCAAGCAGTCGTAAGATCGAATCCATGCGACAGAGTGAGCTCCCGTCGTCTGTCCCAGCTCCCACCAACCTAGCAGTTCGAAAGCATGCAAATGCAAGTAGATAAATAGGGACCACCTCGGCGGGAAGGTAACAGCGTTCCGTGTCTAAGTCGCACTGGCCATGTGACCACGGAAGATTGTCTTCGGACAAAACGCTGGCTCTATGTCTTGGAAACAGGGATGAGCACCGCCCCCTAGAGTCGAACACGACTGGACAAAAATTGTCAAGGGGAACCTTTACCTTTACTTCAGTATACACTATATCTGCCAAATAAATCTTAACTGAATTTTATTTTTTTACTCCTATGTTACATAGGCCAATGGCCTACATCCTTCACCCCTGGATCCACAAGTTTTTCCCCTTTTTTTCTAACAAAACTGCCTCAAACAACTAACAAAACAACGTATATACCAAAACCTTGGATATAACATATTAGATTGAATGTGTTAATATTAAAATTGTTACGATTATGTTAACAGGAGGACAAGAAAACTGATACAAGTAAAGATTAATATGTTGAAAGTAATATTTTTAATATTCTGGCATCTCTTGTTTAGTGCAAAATTAATTATTTTTCTTGTGCAATGGCTGAAGTGTAATTTTTGGTTTATGGGAGTTGAGCATTGAATGTGTATAAACATTTGTGTTTACTCCTGTTACGTGAAAGCATGAGATGTGTGCACAAACCTGGTCAATATGGATGATAGTCAGCTGATGTTGAATGATGATGACAGTTGCTTGCAGAGCCTTTATATGTGGCCTGGCAGGGTGTTCAGGACTCTCTTGGTATTTGCATGTTTGTGTAACTTGCTGTGGCTAACTATAGCTAATTGGCAAAATACTGAGGGACATGTGGGTTGCATGCCTAGTCATGTGCCAAAATGTGGTACCCTGCCACCTTGTCAGTGAGCTGCAAATAGCTGCAACAAGGTACAGAGACCATAGGCCAGCACCAGCAGGATTCTGGCTAATACATATTTAAATAGATAGTAGGCATGATGACTGATGAATAAATGAACATTAAAGTCAACAATATGTACATTGACTGGCCAAAGTGCATACTATCCTTTTATGCTAATGCTGCTGCCATTGCAAGAAAGTACTGTTCCTCTTACACTTCTGCTGGAGCAAAATAAAAAAATAAAATAAAATAAAATAAAAACACCAGCTGACAGTTTTCTCAACAGTGTGTCTAAGTGGCTGAAATCCGGTAGCTTTATCTTACACCATGTAAGGTGAATGATGGTCCAAAATGGCTTCCCTATGATGACAAAAATTTTAAGGGAGCCTCAAGATCATGGGTGTGGTGGTGTTCCCCCTCCACCCCCAAAAGCCTTATGTAGGACAAATTATGCTGCTGGATTTTAGTCATTATGCCGAGAGTCCCTTTTTCATCAAGGAGAAGAAAAGTATTCATTATAGCCTTACTTCTAAAATAAGTTCTGTTAAACCAGTTGGTCGTTAATCTGTTTGGGTACCCATGTGGGTTCTATCTGTCTTTATAGGATCTTTTAAAAAAGTATAATAATCTATAAAAATTATTATACTCATGCCATACTTTCCACTGAAAGATAATGCTCAAGATGGTTTATAAACTTTAGGTTTATCTATCAAAATTCATAAGAAAGCTTACAGATTTTAAGTTCATTTATCAAATACATTTAGATACATATACTACATTGTATTTATGTGTTCTGTGCTATCAAGTGGGAACTGATGTGTAGTGACCCTGATAGGGCTTTCAAGGTAAGTGAGATATTTAAGGAATGTTTTTGCCAATTCCACTCCCCCAGTGAGTTTCCCTGTCTGAGCGGGGATTTGAACCCTGGTCTCCATAGTCCTAGTCCGTCACTACCCACTAGTCCAGACTAGGCATGCTATATACTACTATATTACATTACATTAAAATATGTAGATCATAGTAAAATGCAGATGTAAGTATACTTCAGTTCATTGAAATCCTGGGCTAAACATTGCATAAACCTGTGTTGGACTATAGCTGCAGTATAAATATTTATATGCTGTAGTTTTTTCCCCCAGCAGTATTTTAATATTCATGGGTATATGACGTGAACAAGCAGAAGCAAAACATCCTAAATGTGCAATCCCATACACAATTTGGAGACGTCCACAAAATCAGCAAGACAATTCTAAATAAAAATGCTTCAGTCCAAATAATTTTGTGCACAAGAAGGAAATGTGGATCTGGCTAGGGTTTTGTTTCCCCTAGAGTGGATTGAAATATTAAAGAGGTTAATGGCTTTTTATGTTACTGGTACATGTTTCTTGAAGGGGAATATCCCCACCCCTCATTTTCTACATGTGAGAAATGTGAAAGATACGTCTAGCTCACCAGCTGTTCCAGCTGTTTTCATTGTTGTCTTAGGAGCTACTCAAAAAGTGCAACAGGGTAGCTATGATTCTACAGTTTGAAGACTCTCTGTTAGTGGCATTTGCTTAAATGTGCCTGGAGCACCTTCATAATGTTGCATCAATGAGAAATGGTGTGTTTAGCCAGATCCTAACACTTGAGTGCTTGTATAGCAAGGTTTAGGGTTAAGTTGTTATGCATACACCCATAGTTTTGTATCAGACTTCAACACAGATCTGAAACTTAGCTCAGTTTCCCCTCCCCATAGCCTTGCTAATGACTCTATTTTAATCAGTTCAGTATGGGATATCTCTATTCCCAGTTTAGTTTCTGTACACAAAAGATAAATTGAGGTAGTGGGATTGGGGGCCCCATACAAACATTCATTTCTTTTTAATCTCTTGCTACATGTAATTATAGCAAAATACCAGGAAGAAGGGTGGCATTTTAGACTGATAGCATCTCTTATAAATGTATATTAGCACACATCTGTTTTCTTTTCAGTATATAAGCAGGCCTATGTAACCAGAACTCAGGGATATTGAAAGCTATGTTTCTCTTGGACAGGCTTCTGAAGGTCTCCTTTTCCCCTCTTGTTACATGCTTTCATGTTTGCTTGTTTGTGTGTTGTTTTTCTTCTTAGCTTCCAGGCATGTGCTTATCTTGTATCAAAGCGTCCTTTACTTTGCAGGCTTTATACATACAGTATATGATTGCTTTATTTTGTTTTCTTTTTCTTGGTTTTTCAGATCTAGTTCCTGTCAGGTTCTATGGATTGTGACTTCAGTGAGAACTGAAGTACTTGAACCCCTCATATTTCTGTCTGAAATCTGAGGTGGGGTTTTTGTTCTCACTGTGGAGCCTCTCTTTATACGTGTAGAGAGGCTCCACATTTATTTATTTATTTATAAGTCCTGAATGGAAATGAAAGAAGGACTCCTCCATCTATATAGAATACTATTAGAATAAAATGAAACACAGCAAAATGTAGATTTCAAACTGTTTATTAAAATTTATCTGAGGGCCATCTCCTGAGATCTTAATTGATGAATAATGTTTTAGTCAATTAACAGTGCCAGCCTTTTCCTGTCTAGCTAGAAGGAGGCCTCATTGAACTCAATGAGTTTACTCCTAGAAGAATTGTCCAAAATTGTAGCCTAAAGTCTTGCATACTTCCCAAGAATAAGTAAATGGGACTGACCACAGACTGTCCAGAGGAGGGAATTATTTTTGCACTTACCTGAGCATACGTCCAATTGAATGTAGTGAGTAAACATGCATAGGTTGTGCTGTGAATCTCCAAAATTTATATATGTACAAAGTAATAGTTCTGAAGGGGTGAAAAGGGGTTCTCGTCGTAGTTGTTTAGTCGTGTCTGACTCTTCGTGACCCCATGGACCAGAGCACACCAGGCCCTCCTATCTTCCACCGCCTCCCTTAGTTGTGTCAAATTCATGTTGGTTGCTTCGCAGACAGTGTCCAGCCATCTCATCCTCTATTGTCCCGTTCTCCTCTTGCCGTCACACTTTCCTAACATCAAGGTCTTTTCCAAGGAGTCTTCTCTTCTCATGAGATGGCCAAAGTACTGGAGCCCCAGCTTCAGGATCTGTCCTTCCAGTGAGCACTCAGGGTTGATTTCCTTTAGAATTGATAGGTTTGTTCTCCTTGCAGTCCAGGGGACTCTCAAGAGCCTCCTCCAGCACCACAATTCAAAGGCATCAATTCTTCGGCTGTCTGCTTTCTTTATGGTCCAGCTCTCACTTCCATACATCACGACAGGAAAAACCATAGCTTTGACTATTCGGACTGTTGTTGGCAAGGTGATGTCTCTGCTTTTTAAGATGCTGTCAAGGTTTGTCATCGCTTTCCTCCCAAGA